CGGACTGAATCCTAATTGGAGAGAGTCAGAAACACTCAAGTTTTGGTAACAACCCAACCCATTTTCTCCTGCATTCCCTTTGCCTCCCAGATTCCTCTGGCAATAAGCTAGTGGTAGACTGCCTCTGAAAACAGAAGCTCTACTTTTTCCTACTCTCCAGTCAGATTCAACACATCTCTTCGGAGAGCTGTTTTAGAGAGTTCTGTGGATTTCTTCCTCTACGAGAAGTATATTTTCGCAAATCTTTTAATGCAGGGTTAGGTCTTTGCAGAAGACGCCTTGGCCATGCACGTTGATTTGGCAAAATCTGAAAGGAAAAAGAAAAAAAACATCACTTCTCCTCTCCCCGTCGGGGAATCGAACCCCGGTCTCCCGCGTGACAGGCGGGGATACTCACCACTATACTAACGAGGACAAGACGCGCAAACTTTCCTATTGACCCTCTTTGTTTCTGAAATCTTCAAGAAGTTAGTCAAAGAACCTGACTGATTCTCTTTCTGAGAATTTTAAATATTTTTAGCAAGCATCTCATTTATAGCACACTTTTTTCTTTTAGAAACAGGCAAGTACAATAACAGACAAGCAGTGCAATTGGGGGAAATATAAGTCACCCGCCTAAAGCCACAACTCTTAAAATGGGGAAATGGACCGCGCTTCACTCTTCACTGCTGTTTAAAACAAGGCAACAAAGAGGCTAACATTAATAAAAACAGTGGGACCAAACAGGAAAAGCATTGAGAAATCTCACAATTCGTTTAAGTACAACTTTTTCCCCTGAAAGAAAGTCAAACCATATTAAAGAATCGCTTTGATAAATACTTCTGCCCCATCAGCAGATCCTACAAACAACCTACGTCGTACTTAATAAGTCCATGAAAGTAAATCCAAAGGTCTAATTCTTTCAAGTTTTAAACGCCATCTGGAATCTCCCACCCTTTCAAACCATCTTCGCTGTTTTATTTCTAAGAACTGTTGTCTGCTTCTCCACTGGCCCAGCGTGAAGCTAAAAGAACTTTGTGCCGACTGAATTTGAACATAACGCAGCGAGAATCTTCCTGCAGATTTAAGCGTTTGCTATGAATGTTTCCTCTTCGCTCATGAAGCCAGCCTGGCCTATGGAATCCGCTCAGTTACTTTGCAAACTGGCGCGTCACGTTCCGGGTGTCTGAAATGATACAGCTCTTTTCTCGAGAAAGTAGGTGGCTCTTAAAAGAGCCTTTTGTACATCGAGGGGAATTTCGCTCAGTGCAGGAAGGAGAAGCTACTTGGAGCTGGTGTACTTGGTGACGGCCTTGGTGCCCTCCGAGACGGCGTGCTTGGCCAGCTCGCCGGGCAGCAGCAGGCGCACGGCCGTCTGGACCTCGCGGGAGGTGATGGTGGAGCGCTTGTTGTAGTGCGCCAGGCGGGAGGCCTCGGCCGCGATGCGCTCGAAGATGTCGTTGACGAAGGAGTTCATGATGCTCATGGCCTTGGAGGAGATGCCGGTGTCGGGGTGCACCTGCTTCAGCACCTTGTAGACGTAGATGGAGTAGCTCTCCTTGCGGCTCTTCTTGCGCTTCTTGTCGCCCTTCTTCTGCGTCTTGGTGATGGCCTTCTTCGAGCCCTTCTTGGGCACGGGGGCGGACTTGGCCGGCTCGGGCATGCTGCACAGCGAGGAACCTCCGAACAGGAACAAGGAACGAGTGAAGGACAAGGACTCGCCTTTCCTTTATTTATAGGGCGCATATGCAAATAAGAGGTTTCAAATCTCTCAGACGCTATTGGTGGAAGAGAGTTCTACCGTCACGCTATTGGAAGAGAAGTCACGAAGCTACAATTATACCGAATCTTGGCCTTCCCATTGGTGCTTCCAGCTTGAGCTCCTCATTGGCCTTTTGAAAATAGAGGTTGCCCATTGGCTAGAAAGGCCAACTAGAAATCTCGAAGTGGTAATACGGTACTTTTACCTCGTTTTTTTTTCTTTACAGGACGCTACAGATTTTAAGCGTCTCCCCGTCCTATTTTGTTTCTATACGCATCCTGTACACTGGGACAATCAGTTAAACACTAATTATTTAATATAGATTTATGGTACAGCTATAAAATATTTCTCAAAAGTTTTGATGGAGGTGTAAAATTATAACACAAAAACAGCCTGTTTTGTACAAGCCGAAATAGCTCAGTTGGGAGAGCGTTAGACTGAAGATCTAAAGGTCCCTGGTTCGATCCCGGGTTTCGGCAGAATCGTTTGCTTTTCGTTAAAGGTTTCTCCAGGGGTTCAGGCTTCTTGCTTTAACCTAGTCTGCTACACAATTTGATGCCATGGTGGTCAAGTTTTGCAGCTGGAGTTGTGAGAACCCACCATGTTGTGAGCAAACCCAGAGCTTCTCGTCTCAAAAGCAGTCACTACTGATTTACGCTGACCCATTCCCCCTCAAATTCCTTTTTTCTAAGTTCTACTTTCTGTAGTTATCCGAGAAATGAATCAAGTTTATTCTTGAAGTAGTAAACCCCACGAAAGGGCAGTACTTTTCAAGGCCTGGATACATAAACTTTTCATGGCAAGGGTCAAATCTTACAAAATACTGGAAATGACACTAAATAGCTCTTTTAGAAGCCGGAGTAAAACGTGAGTAACGTCCGTTACTCCTTAACTCCTAGTTCTCCTTTTGGGAGATCAAAATCCTGACCAAAAGTTTATTTAAGAAAATCTGAGTGGCCCTTAAAAGGGCCTTTTTTAGTTTGGGGTGTGAGAAGGAAATCAAATTCTCCCCCCACCCCCATGTCAGCAGGAAGTCAAAGCTTCCCAATTAAATAACCAAAGTCCTGGCAGGAAGGGCCAACTTTCCTTAAATCCAAAAAATCGAATCATAAAAATATTTCTTCCCCAAATATTTTTCATTCCTAGGAGACAATACCCGATGAGGCAAACACTGGAAACCCCTGCTCAGTAGGGCCTCAGACCGCTCCCTTCCCAAGATCTTGCCTCTCTCTTGGAACCCCGGCTAATCACCTTTCCTAAGGATTCCTACCGGGCAGGCATTCCTTCCCACCTTTCAGGAACAGTAGGATCTTCCCTACGAAAGGGACTCCTGGGGAAACCCTGGGCGCAGCCGCCCAACAGCTGATCGTTTCAGGTATCTGGCTCTTAGAAATAAAGTCTTTTCTCTCCTTCAAGCCACCGCCTGCGTGTTTATTCCCGGCTCGGAGACGAACCTCGTAAGCTTTCTTTGTAACAAGGGGTTAAAGGGAGTTCAGTAGGGTTTTAACCGCCGAAGCCGGCCCTGGCGCTTCGAGGCGTAGACCCGGTGACCGTCCTCCTCCTGGCGTGCTCGGTGTAGGTCACGGCATCGCGGATCACGTCCAGAAAGACCTTCAGGACGCCGCGAGTCTCCTCATAGATCAGACCCGAAATTCGTTTCACGCCTCCACGACGAGCCAGACGGCGGATTACCGGCTTGGCGATGCCCTGAATGTTATCGCGAAGCACTTTCCGGTGCCTCTTGGCGCCGCCTTTCCCCAATCCCTTCCCTCCCTTTCCGCAACCAGACAGCCCGCGACAACCTCAAAGGGGAAATGGTTAGCTGCCGAACAGGCGGACGGTTTACGGGCAGACAGACCGACCAGAAGGAAAACTAGGGCGCTGAACCTATTACTATTAGTGTTTTGTGGGATAAAGGCTATCCAATCCATGGTGGGCAGCTTGGTTCAAAGTAGCCAATCAGCGCATAGTTACACTTACGCCGAGAAAGGCTTCTTGGCGCCGTTGTTAGTTTCCCCGGGATCGGATAGAAGGTTCAGTTATAGATATCGATATCGATACTAAAGCTCAATTCGCTGGAACTTTTACCGTCGCATTTTTATTCTTTGTGGTCCTCAATAAAAGTTGCTCTTTTACAGTATGTATTCCACCCGTGTTTTAAATAAGCAAAGCCCCACATCTTCTGAGTGTGTTGGGTGCAGAAACGAATAGTGCTTAACAGTTAGCCCCACGGAAATTAGTGGACTTTAGCGTTGGTACGACTAACCTCCTCGATTTCCTGTCCAGAGCCCGCTATACAGTATAGAAAAGTTTTCCGTTCTTCAACGGAGGGTCTGACTTCCGTGTACTGTAATGCCGTGTGAATCAATGAATGCGGGCTGACGTTTGGCTGGCTGCAGCGCCCACTTCTTCAGAGCAAAGGTGAAAGTAAGCCTGGTAGGAAATTTCAGGTCCTGAAATTTCTGCCTGTGTTTAGTGGAGCAGAATGCGCACCCCCAGTTGCTAACCGCCAGGTAGATGGCCGCTGATCACCCACCCTTATTAAGATTGTTGGATTTTCCTAATTTTCTATTAAATTCTGGCAACTGTCCTATGCTCTGTCCTATTTGCCATAAATCTTCCTTTCACGTTCCTTGGTTCTGCATTGAGTGGAATGTCCACTTTGTCCAATGTAACTGTCCTCAGCTGGACATTTATGTTACACATTCTGTTGGTTCTTAGTTTGGAGGATTTATCTTATGAAATCTCTCATTTACCGCCCTGAAGAGCAGGGCTCTTGTGCTCATTTATAATGTTTTTAGAAAACAATATCGAGCAACAACTTTTAGGCAACAATAAGGGCAGAATATTTGGGTGTAGATTAAGATGCATGAATTCAGGACCCGTAGATCTTAGCCCTACTGTAGGAAACTGAAGCTCCAGAATGAAACTTTCTTCTAGCCATTCAAATGAGAAGCTGAACTATTTTGGACAATCAGCTGGCAAGGAAATTGCATTGCTTTACAGGTAGAAGTCAGGGAAATGAAAAATGGGTCATTTTTAGATAAATGTGAGTTGAGATGTATGTGGAACTATAGCTCTGAGGTTCAGGTGGGAGCTGTAACTTCTGATTTTTGTCCCAAACAAGCAACTCTTAGTGGCAATTATCCTGGAGTTCATCTGCCACACTGCCCCTGGCTGAAGGAAGCATTCAACAGATGGAAAGTCAAGCCTTGTCCATCTTAAGCTTTGCATGAGGTGACTTCATGTATTCAGTTTTCTGTACTTAAGATAGCAGGAATATCTTCTGCTTGTGTGAACATTGAGGCCTCAGACTTCAAGTCTTGACATTATTGCTGCATTTTGCATGAAGATGCTGAGCTAAGTCACAGAGGTTCCTGGTTTGGTCACTCAAAAGCATCTTGGATAGCAAGACCAAGGCAATGCAGAGCTCAATCAACAGAATTAGGGATACCTAATAGTGGGTACTGTAATGCCACATGTTTAGCATGCTCCACATAGATGTCTTAATCAGACTTCCTTATCAACTCACTAGGTGTGGCATTTTATAACAGCCTCAGACGATTAAGGAGAAGCAGCATCTGTTTTATACTGTTTTTCTCTTGTTTTTAATTGTTAGCCACCCAGTCATGTGTATGAGATGGGTGGTCATATAAATTTACGGATTAAATAAATAGTTGCTCAGATTTGCCAGGCTTGACCCTTCATGGGCCGAGACTGTTGTAGTGACTGGGACTATATCTTGCCACGCTCTCTGGGATTCCAACCTTGTGGACTTTGATGATGTTGGTACGATATTCGTGCTTGACCCAAGCCACCTATGTGCTGATCTTTGTCCCTCCTGACTTTTGGAAGCATGGAGAGGAGCATGACAGATTAGTTCTAGAAAACGGCCATTGCTTGGCTTCCAGAAAGGGTTGTAGTGGCAGCCATGAAAAAGATTGTGGATCACTCCTCCCTGAAGGCATTTTCCTTTGTTTTTTTAGGTAAGTATTGCACCATCTATGACCTTCCCTTTCTAGGGAATCTTATGAAGATCATGATCAAACATAGAGCATCTTAAAGAAAGTGGATAATGTGGTTCCTTTACACTCAGGATTCAGATCTGGACCTGGGACAGAGATGGCATTGGTGGCTGTACTGGAAAACTTCTGTTGTGACCTGGATGGATGTAGAGTGGATAAAGTACATTCCTCTTTCAATATCAGCCTTGTGGAGTAGTCCAGAGAGGAAGCACATCCAGATGAGCTAAGTCTACTTTATTGTAAGGTTACATTAGCAGAATTTTGCACGTCTGAAAGTACATTTTTCCCCATCACCTTTACAGCCCAAGAAACTAGGGTGGTCCTTTCTGAGATGTTTGCCACATCCCCATTCCTTCTGTGGGCTAAGCTGCCTCTTGTCCACACACCATTACATTCAGACCTCTCAGCAATCTGGATCACCTTCAGGGAGCAGAGATACTGTGGTAGTGTGGTTCTGCTCCTTCCTCAGCAGGTGGCCCAGAGTGCTGGTGTGAGATCAGCCAGCCAGTTGCTTGCTTGTGGAGTGCCACAGCACTTACTCCTGTCTCCCTTGCTTTTTAACATTTTAGTGGAAGCAGTGGGAAGAGTCACCTTTCATCTCAGGCTTCAATATCAACAAGATGCTGCTGATGCCCAGCTGTAGTTACCCCAGGACATACAGAAGCCTAAACTTAAGGTGTCTGGAGCCTGCGAGGCTCTGGATCGGAAGAGACAGATTGATCACTATCAACAGAATTCAACATTTCTATTTTGTCTCTGGGTGGGCAACTCCACGACTTGGGCTTCTCCTAGACTTATGGCTGCTGCTAGATGGGAAATGGAAGCTGTGGTCAAGTGGGTGGTAAGCCAGTTGCAGTCCTACCAGAGGATGATTTTGTAGCTTTGTAACTCATGCCCTTTTCACCACTCAGCTGGACTACTGAAATGCACTCTACACAGGGCTGCCTTTGAAGACCGTGTGGAAGCTTCAATTGGTCCAGAAGGCAGCTAGCATTGTTGTTGAAGGTACATATTCACATATGCGTATTACAGGTTCTTTGCATTCTGCACTGGCTCCCCATTAGCTTACGAGCACAATTCAAAGTGCTTCTTTTGAGTGTTACAGCCATACATGGCTTAGCATCGGAGTACTTGCAGGAATACCTTCCTTGCCCAATTTCAGCCCACCCAACTCAGATGTCCCAGGAGAACTTTTGTAAGGTAACAGGTAGGGCAGTGTTGTCCAAACTTGGCCACTTTAAGATGAGTGGAACTCCCAGAATTCCCCACGCCAGCCATGCTGGCTGGGGAAGTTCTG